TGTTGAGATATGGGGGGATGATGGTATGCTTGGGAGATGAGTGGGCGTGTAATAAGCAGATTCGACTGTTCTATATCAATAAGATGCCGATATTTGTCTCCGCAGTTTCGAGAATGGCCAGAGTCTAATTAGACACGGGCAGGTGACATGAGTAAGGGAATGGGTGCCAGGACTCGCGTGTTTGTGGAGAGCAACACGGTGATGTCTCACCATGACATAGATATTGGCGGTCAGTGATGACTGAACCGGAATTCATTAGCGAGTTGACATCCCAGTGGTGATACGACATACCAATAGATCACGGTTACTTGTGACTGAGGCCTGTTTTTATTTGTATTGTAGATTGTTTTTTTACTTTTTCTGTGAGTTCTAGATAACCACCTACACCATTCTATAGTGGTGGTGGCCGATATTTTTCTTTGAGTGTGTCTATTTACTTCCCCATCATTACTTCGTAAGTGCTCTATTGAGTGTACTCCTTCTGGAGGAGCTTGGCAATAGTATTCAGCCTAGAAGCATATTAGTTAGCATTGATTCAAACCTCACACGGACTCTTCAAGTAAACTCACTGGATGTTGCTGGTACCCTCGTAAATGGCACCAATCTTGCTGTCACGCCAGAACTTCTCAGCCAGCCCCTCGCGGACGAAGCCCATGCCGCCCATCCACTCAATAGCCAGCCCGCTCACGCGGCCCGCGACCTGCGAGGCGTACAGCTTGGCCATGGCGGCGTCCTTGACAAAGTCCTCGCCGGCCTCCTTCTTGCGCGCGGCGTTGTAGACCAGGGCGCGGGCGGCAGAGATCTCGACGTACGACTGGGCGATCTGGTGCTGCATGCCCTGAAACTCGCCGACGAGCGAGCCGAACTGCTTGCGGTCGTTCCACACGTAGCGGGCGGCGTTCTCGAAGGCGCCGAGGGCGAGACCCGTCATCTGGGCGGCGATGCCGATGCGGCCCTCGTTGAGCAGGCCGATGGCGTACTTGTACCCGTGCCCTCGCTCGCCCAGCAGGTTCTCCTTGGGGATCTTCACGTCGTCGAAGTTGAGGACGCAGGTGCTGGACGCCCGGATGCCGAGCTTCTTCTCCTTCTTGGCGATGGAGAAGCCGGGTGTGCCCTTCTCGACGATGAAGGCGGTGATGCCGCGGTACCCCTTGGAGTGGTCGAGGTTGGCGAAGACGATGAAGAAGTCGGACTCGATCGAGTTGGTGATCCACATCTTGTTCCCGGAGATGGTGAAGCCGTCGGCCGTCTCGGTGGCCTTGGTGGCGAGCGCGAAGGCGTCGGAGCCGGAGACGGGCTCGGACAGGCAGAAGGAGGCGACGGTGTTGGTGGCCAGCTTGGGGAGCCACTTGCGCTTGAGGGCCTCGGACCCCCACTTGATGATGGCGGTGTTGCACAGCGTGTTGTGGACGTCCACGAGGACGCTGACGCTGGGGTCGACGCGGGCGAGCTCCTCGATGCCGATGATGGCGGCGGTGAAGTTCATGCCGGCGCCTCCGTACTCCTCGGGGATCTCCACGCCCATCAGGCCCTGCTCGAAGAGCTGCTCCACGATGGCGGGGTCCATTGATTCCGCCTCGTCCATGTCCCGGACCTTGGGGAGGATCACGTCGTTGGCGAACTTGGAGACGCTCTCGGCCATTGCATTCTCAACCTCGGAGAGGTGGCTGATTGGCGTGGGCGGGATCTCGGAGATGTCAATGGGGGAGTCTGAGCGGAGGGCGGCGGTGGTAGAGATAGGACGGGCTCTAGACACGACATGTTAGCTACCTCGCCCATGCTGTTGCTCGTATGGGTGAGTGTATGTACAGGTTTGCTCGGCGCATAGGTCTCGCCAGGCCCTGGCGGACTGCAGTCTGTGAGAGAATACGGCTGCCCCTCAATGCGGGCCGCAATGCCCGAGTAAATGTCGAAGACATGGTAATTTGAATAATTTGAACCTCGAAGCTGTGGGCTGTATACCAATTCTAAGGGTTTCAATATGCTTGGAAGATATCTCAATTAGGAAAAAGATCTAAATGCGAGGAAAATTGCAACGTAGGAATCCGGTGAAAAAAAGGAAAAAAGATCAGTCATGAGCTCATAGGACTAGATTCCTGCAGCAGCCGCGGCGCCGGCTGGGATATCACGGCTTGCACGGGTAAGAGAGCTCAAGGGAGGCAACGGCTTTAGTTCAGCCGAGGGTAGCCACAGATTTGCGGTGAGCTAGCTTATCAGTAAGTTCTGGGGTAAGAGCACTGCCGGAAATCTATATGCATGTGATTCAGTAGCAGCGCCGGCTCGGGAAATCTTGACGCCGATACTTTCATATCATCACGTGATCCCTCCAAGATTTCCAGATGGGCCATACTGAAGATGTAGCAAAAGTGAGGATATCGAAGTGCATCACCGATTGACGGCCGCACCACACCCTCTCGCCCAGCATGGTCGGCTCAATTCTCCGTCAGCTCTTCTCGCCTCCGACGCGGAGGTCATTGGCCACCAACCTGACCACCTCCGCCTTCAGAACGGCCGCCACGACGACCCAGCAGCTCCCTGCCTTCCGCAGCTTCTCCACGACGCTCCCACGCCCCGCGACCCTCAACCAGGTCCTCCGCGGCACGCGCAAGGGCAAGCGAGCACGCCACGCCATCTCCCCCGCCCTCGCCGCGACGCACTGCCCTGCCCAGAAGGGCGTCTGCCTCCGTGTGGGCGTCGTGAGACCGAAGAAGCCCAACTCCGGCGAGCGCAAGATTGCTCGTGTGAAGCTGACTTCGGGCTACGTCGTGACGGCATACATCCCCGGGGAGGGCCACAATATCCAGCAGCACAGTGTCGTTCTGGTGAGAGGTGGACGATCACAGGATTGCCCTGGTGTGCGGTACCATCTCGTGCGTGGAGCTTTGGATCTGGTAGGACACACATCACTCTTTTACCCCGTCTATGAGGCCATTGGTTACAGTCACTAACTACATCTTGCGTCCAGGGTGGTGTTGCCAACCGTGCTACAAGCCGAAGTAAATACGGAGCCAAGAAGCCCAAGAAGGCTACCGTGGGTTAGATAAAGTTGCGCGATGAGTCTTGGTAATAAAAGCGAAGCCAGGAGCCTCGAAGATCAAGGGTGGGGGAGTTCTTCTCTTGGTGTATAGAGTAAATCAGGGAGTGCGATAGTATTGTTACCCTGAGTGTATCTTTGTTGTACATTAAAACATAATGACGAATAGCTGAGCGAGCTGGTCACAAATATAAAACAGCCATTTCTGGTGTCTTTCTCAGATATCAGTTGTGCACATAAATACTGTCCAAAGTGTTTCAATCCAGACGCCCCGTTCCAATTCAGATTTCGCACAAGATCGTTGTTTTGTTTCATGCTCCGCTCCCGGCTTTTTGGCTTCTTCGTCAATGCCGCAAAGCAGATGTTCGCCCCTCCCAGCCCACCAAGATAATAAAGAGGATCAAAAAGAAAATTGAGTACAAGAATGGTTGTTGCATTAGCCTTCAGACACTCTAGTCCTTTTCGTTCTCCCAGCCCAGTGGCTTCTCCAGACCATTGAGCTCATAGAATCGAGAGGTGCCTATTCACAGTTAGAAAAACATGATGTTCCTCAAAACAGCTGGGATGTATGACTTACAAGAATAACCCTTCCAGTCAAAGTTGTCCTTGGGGTTGCAGTGGCATCGAAGATCCAGGCGCGTCTGCTCACCAGTGGGGCAGTGAGTGAAGGGCACATGCCAGTACCCAATATCGTTGAAGAACTTGATCTCAGACTTGTCAAGAAGCAGACCAGCTGCAATAGAGTGGACAGGTGCATCACCCCAACGCTCGTAGAAGAAACCACCATCCTGGTCCAGTGATTCGAAGAAATCGATGTACGCCTTGCTTCGCAACCACTCCAAGTTTCCGACTTCGAAATTGGACCACTAGAAACATGTTAGCTTAGCACTAGATTGCATCGATCTTCAACGGTAGAAACGTACGAAATGGCATCGATTGTAGTTTTCACCCTTATCGTCACTAAGGAAGGCCATGGAGTTGTCCTTGGCGATGTGCTCGGGGTGGTTCTTCATAAACTTCTTTGTGCTCTCCCAGAGGGTGGGAATAGTCTCGTGGTACTCGTAGAGACTGAGAACAAAGCTGTACTTCTTCTTCTCCTCGGCCATGACACGGAAAGGGTCGTAGTGGACATCGCAGAAAAGCTTGACGGAGGGCTCGACACGCCAGTACCACTCGTAGTTGAGCATCAACTCGTGGCGGAAGAAGAATCCGGATTCGAAGCGGCACATGTGACGGTAACTGACAGAGTCACCGTAGATGATCTTCCGCTCCTTCATATCCTCACGGACCTTCTTTGCCTTTTCTTGGTCAATCCAGTCGGGGAAAGACCAGTGCTCGACGGGAATCAGACCATAGTGGGTTGTACCAGAAACCAGCGATGTAGTAACCTTCTTGAAGGTCTCATCAAAAGGCTGGTCGTTGAGGAACACCCAGTCGTAGTTGAAGCGACGGTTGAAGCGATCCTCAACCTGTCTGATGGAATCGGCAATATCCCAGACATCGGTGTTTCGGGCCAGAGTGACGAAAGTGGCATTCATTCGAGGGCCGGCGTTGATGCTCACGAGATCGTCCCAGCCTGGTGAGCTAGGAGTCCTCGCAAAGGACATGTCGTCGCCCTTTCCAGTATTGACAGTCGGCTGCTTAGGAGGGTTCTTGATGGGAGGATCAGCGGGAGACCCGGGCGCCGGCTGCAGAGGAACCTGGGGGTTCGGGTTCTTGGGAGTCGATGGCGTCTCGGGCTGCACTGCTGGCTTGACGATTTGCCCAGCCCCAGGAATCGGGGTGTACATGTTGGAGCGGGAGACGAAATAGAAGACGAAAAGTGCCTTCCCACATTACGAACTGTCAGCCATCGCGATCCGATCCATGATGGTTCTTCTCAGCATCAAGCTAGGGGGGCAAAAAACTCACAAATGCCGTCATGGCAATGTAGCGCACAAGGCGCGTATTTCCCGTTGCCATCATGATGCCGACGGTTGACGATGTGATCGTTAACTCAGGCAAGATGGAAGAAGACGGTGGCAGTTGGGATCTTGGGACCACGCGCGTGGAGCTTGATGGCCACTCGTCAGGGATGGTAAGCCCCTACCAATAAAAGATGGTACGCAATCTGGTACGCAACACAATAGCTTCGCCACGGGTGTCTAGATGCGCATGGCTTCCCTGAAACCACGGACCCAGAGCTGCAAGCCACAGACAACCAAGAGATGCTGCTAGGGCTAGGTAGTAGGTATGGAAAGATGGAATGCAGAGAGAGGTTTCACATGGATAAACTACGAATAGGGAGCGGCAGATACAGTGAATCACTGGATGAAAAGGGGATGCATCAAAGCGAGACGTACCTCCCGCATCAACCTCAAGGGCTTTCAACGAATTTTTGCTGTCTTTTCTAGAGCAATTCGCAGCAGGATCAATAGGATGGATGCACCTTCCAGGGGCTCTGGCTGCTGGGGGGTGCTCACCCTTGGCTCTGAGTGGCGCTAGGATCGACTTTCGAGACTGGACCCAGGCGGGTCCAGAGTTTAGGTGCCCCCTGAAGATTGCACACCCACAGCACATTCAGACATCTGGCTCCAGCGCCCCATCTGCTAGAGATTGGCAGCCGATAGCTTGCCAATGGCCTCTGAATGGCCTGACGAAGGCGCGGGCAGCTTGTCACCGTACTGGCCCACAGAGCCAATAGGGGGTTATCTTGGTGTAAACCACAAGGAGACAGGCTTCCATTTTTTATTTGAATAACGCACCTCCAATAATGGTAGAATAGCGTCGCAGCCAATGGCCGTCTTTCAAACCTCGTATCACCTGCAATGCCTGCCCTCTGTAACAATAGAGCTGGGCTAGCGAGCCTCAGCTCCAATAAGCGATGAGAGGCCACCTTTCCTGCTTGGCAGAGTGCCACCTGGAATGCTATTGCCTCTCGAGGCTAGACTCCAGTGCGGCACATGTGTAACACCAAGTATCAGGACAATGGCGATGGTCGAGCCTCTTCAAGATGCGCAAGCTCAGCCCTCTTAAAGAATTAGGTGTGCATTCAGCCACTGCAAACATCAAGAGATAGGTGTGTTAAGGTCGTGAGAATTATTCACAGTCCATCCACCCGAGCAAGTAGACGAAGCAACTCGAGAACGACAACAAGCCAATCAATAATGCCAAGAAATAAATCCCCCTTACTACTCGCAAAGTTTCGGTCGCCTCTGAGGTCATGTTTTCTTACTCTATTGTTTGGAAAGCCCCCGAGCACTGATATTGTTAGAGCGCGCTACCTGAGCAGCTCAAGAAGAACTCGGTTCCAGTGCGCTTGACTGGTAATTCTCGCCCCAATCGAGGCCCGTATCAGAAAGTCGAGAGATATCAAAGGAACAGCCTTCCGGCGCCTATTTTCCGACAGCCCTATTAGGCTCAATGTCGGCAGAGCCATTTTATCGAATCACGGCCTCATAGGATAAATCATACGAGTACCTGGTATTGGAATTATCAAGACAACCCAATTCAACTTGAGCCCAGCAGAGATCTATTCTTTTCGAGTGAAAGCCTAGGAGATAACCGGCGCAACTCTCATACATACGCACGGCCTAAAGCAAGGACTCCGGGCTGGTAGGTGCTGGGCGAATGATTGAGCGTATTGTTGGTCACAATTGGAGCATCCTCAATAGGAAGAAGCCATGGTTCGTCTACGTCACCAATAACACGCCGGGTGGACTTGCGGGTTACTCAATGGAACTTCTCCGCCACCAGGTAGCAGTTGGGTGGATGTTATGAGAGAACATCTCTCCGCCCAGGACGCCAAGACAAATGGCCAAGGCGGGGTTTTCTTGTTTGAAAGGGGGTATCAATGTAGCGCGAGATGCACTGCTATTGTTCGGACATCGTCTTTGGGATCCGGACTGACGTGGTCACTACATCGGTCTGGTAGGAGACAAGCAATGCACCCACGGTCAGCATGCAGTCCCCCTCCCAAGGAGCAAAAGCCCCTCATTCTCGCTTGCACCGGCATCGGCTCCCCCCTGCCATACCGCCACCATCATGGAGATGGAGGCCGTTCATCATGCCGATGTGGAACCCCGCAGAACACCGCACGGAGGGACACACGGCGCCGATAAGAACGATCACGGTCAACACAATCCGGAGGAAGACATCAACACTATCAGCATCAGCAGATTTCTACGAGTCGAACAAGCCCCGAATCACCTACCCCTGGGCGAGAGCTGCTGCCTCACTGCCAGCCGCTCGCTGTCCGTCCCTAGCAGGCGTCGCCTGCATGCGAACAAAATACGTACCTCCCGAGGACCCGGCTGGGACTTGCATGTCCCTGGGTGCTACCAACGAGGTACGTCAGGTCGCTGGGAGGCAGGGTTGGAAGACAAGGTACCGGCTTGGTCAAAGCCGCCCATAGCTACCTTGCACATGGAAAAGAGAGACTGCGCGCGCTGCGTTTCACCCTCCTTCTCGCCGTGGAGCCATTGGCGTCACTGAACGATGATGAGATTTTCTCCTCATTTGCCCATCGTGGAATGGTATGCACTTGTGCCCACCATGTGCCTGCTCATCTGCGACTGCTGGTTGGCTCTGGAAGGGTCATGTTGCACTCCGAACGCCATGCCATGCAGTACTTTGCCTCATTGTTCCTGACCGGCATCGCGCTGTGTTGAGCTGCCTTACAGAGAGCTCTCGGGGAATCAAGTACAGGGCCAATTGGTTGAGCTTAGGTGGCGCCACATACCTTTCCTTGATTTCCTTTCTCGCTATTGCCTTGTCGAGAATGAACTCTTGGTCCAAGGCACGCAGCGGAAGGCTGAGAAGTTCCTCAGGAATGCGTTTCCTTCTCGTTGAGGGACAGAGAGATAGTCGTGAGCCCCTTTTTGCCAAAGCTTCCTCAATCGCGTTCTATCCCATCAACGCAATCTCAGTACCTATCATGACATGATCAAATGTGAAATAGGATATTCTAGGCCCGCTTCCTCCAAGTCTCGTACCCTCCTTCAAGGAATCCTGGGGGGCAGAGGCTGACGACCCCCACCCCAAATCATCCCCTTCCCCCTCCATGAAGCCATTGAATTGCTCTCATGTCCCCGCTCCTGTATCACCGTCCCGGTGGTGTTATCAATGCCTTGTTGCAAAGTACACTGAGCCGCAGATGGCGCTCTGGAATTGTTTCGCCATTCTCACATAAATGTGGAATGGAGGGTAAACCTTGAGCTCAGTATCCAATCGCTGAGCTTGACGGTCCCCCATGGAGAGCATCACCCCGAACCACCAATGCCCGTCTAGTCTTTAGTCTCCCCACTGCCTCGCATGGGCGAATCAAGGATACAGTCGAATGTCGCCTTTCTGTATGTACAGTGGCATTGCGCGGCTATGCTGTGTATACTCGTCGAGCTCTTCTGTATGATGGAACTTCTCGCCAATACCGTCGCTTAAAACACCACGATGAGGATCCACAAGTACAGTCTTTGTGACGTAGCCAGAACTTGAATTGCTCCGAGCTGCTCTGAGCTGCTCTGAGCTGATGAGGATAAATAGCTCGGTTGATCGCCTTTCTTCAGAGGGGAATTGTCTTCCTTCATCATCCTCACTTCCCTGTTCAATTGATCATACCCTACACGTCTCTTCTCACATACTATACCTACAACACCTTTCAACACACCTTTTTACATTACATTCAACTCAACATGTCTCAGCTCGCCAAGGCCTACAGTCTCACTGATGTCAATGACACCCGCTCTCTATATGATGAATGGGCTGCCAACTACGACTTGGAACTTACAAGCAAGGAGCAGGACTATGTCGGTCCAATTGTTGCTGTTGCCCATGTTCTAAAGGACCTGGGTGTCACCAGCCTTGCTCCCGAGACTCAAATCTTGGATGCTGGCTGTGGCACTGGTCTTGTCGGCACTCACCTTGCCCAGGTCGGCGGTAAGAAGATTGACGGTGTTGATCTGAGCCCGGGGATGCTCAAGGAAGCCGCCAAGACTGGCGCCTACCGTGACCTCCAGACGGCAGATCTCACCCGTCCTCTTGCTTTTGAGGACAACAAGTATGATGTTCTTGTCTGCGTGGGTACATTCACCCAGGCTCATGTCGGGCCTGTCGCCCTTGATGAATTTGTCCGCGTTACCAAGCCCGGCGGCAGCATTGTCGCCACTGTCCTCGGCTCCATCTTCGAGAGCGGCGGCTACGCTGCCAAGATTGAGAGCCTCGAGAACCAGGGCAAGGTGAAGCTTGTGAGCGCCGAGATGGAGGACTATCGTCGTGGTCCTGGGGTAAGAGCTCGCATGGTTGTGCTCAAGGTGCTGTCGTGAACTCCGCGTGCGTGATTGATGCCGTGAAATCGTCTCGAGTTTTTGATGACCGTGAAGACAAGAATGCTTCCGATGGTGACGGCGATGATTGACATGACTTGACTTTATTTGTTGATTATGACGATGACGGTTTTGGTGATTGAACGATGCTGCGCATGACAAGTGGTCTTCGGTTTGAAGTTTGACCCTTACGGCTTTCATCCCATTTGCCCTCGACAACACCTTCAGCAACTGTTATTTCAGGCAGTGAAAGTGCACATTGGACTCAACGGGTGGCCTCGGGGGAGAGGATCATCGACTTGACTTGATAATGTTTTGCAAATCAAATAAACAAAAACCTTTCATGGTGGTGACTTATTAGAGTCCAACCAATTTAATCCGTCGAATTCGCAGCTTCGTAAAGTTCCACGCTCTATATGCTCTTGCTTTGATCGATTGTCCACTGTGCCATTAAAGATCTACCCCTAAAGCCAGAATCGACCCATGAACGACGAGTGGTTTTTGCTGGAAGGGCAAACTTGTCATATGCTATCAATTGATGTCAGGAGAATACCTAGGCACTTCACTTTCTCTACTACCACACATATACACCTGATGTTATAGGGTAGGATTGCTAGAGCGGAAGATGCATCGCCTGCCGCCCACGTGACTTTCTGGTTCCGGTGGGTTAGGTTGGATGGAAAGTCAATGTGGGGCAACAGCTGGTTGGAGAACCTCACAGCGATTAGCACATCACCACCGTGGCTTTACCTCGAGCAACGCCGTTCGTGAGCATCCGCCCTCCTCTTGTAGCAACTTAGGCGCCTTGCAGCGTACGCCGCCTGCTCTTGATTTCTGGATTATCCCAACTCCGTCTTGGTCAACCTTCTTGGAGCCGCGTCCCGCATGCTGCTTGCGCCGGCTTAATTAGCCTTTGCTGCACCTGATCTCAGCTCCCAGTCTACGAGACACCATGAAAGAGTTGTGCGCGTTGGTCTATACTTCAGTTCTCTCCTCAATCTAGTGGTGAGTTTATGCTATTTCTCCCGATACCACTTCCCGATTGCCACGCGCTGGCATCCAAATGGAAAAGAACCCGATTCCGGGCATTGGCACCTTGCAGCTTTGCGGAGGGCCCATTTGGCATGGTGCGCACCACTTTGGTGAATGACGTGGACTCGAGGATCCGACAAAGCTCGAGGTCCGGGGTTCTCAACCTCTTGGTCTATCTGATCAAGGGCTCCCACCCCGAACGAATGCGAATCCCAGAGTCTTACAGATATCCTTTGTGTTGCTCTAATTTCGAGCTATTTCAGCGCATTATTCCCTCTTGATTTTCTTGGCTTGACCATGGTTCACCATATCTGCGCTGTTATTCTGACATCGTCTAGATTTACTCTTTAATTTTATCTCCTTCGCTTGTCTTGGTAAACCATGTCGTTCTTTGGCTTCGATCCCACTCGCGGCCATGATTCGGCCGCACCTGGGTTTTCCCAGGCTGCGGATCCCTTTTCAGGTCTCTCGGGAAACAACGTCGATGACGTCCTCGAGTTCGAAGATACGTACGATGGCCTTGGTGACCAGCTCGATGAAACCGACGATGCTTTCAACGACGATACCTTTGGCGGCGGTGATGTCGGCCCAACTGTGAGCAAGGTTGGCAAGGATTTCGACTTCTTTGGGCAGACTGCGAAGGTCTCAGGGGCTATCGAGGAGGAGCATCTCCGGTTTCATCGTCAAGGACCAACCGTCCGTTCAGGCGCAAACCAATCTCAGGCGGCTTATTATGCCACTCAGCCAGCTCAGCTGGCCCCCCGACCTGCGCGGACTGGGTATGAGAAGTATAAAGAACCTGAGCAGATGCCTGATTTGAACGTGGATAGAAGCATTTGGGGCATGGCTCCCGCAAAGTCACCCGCCCAAACAGCTTCTGTCCCCAAGCCTGTCCAACCTGTCCAACCCAGCAGAAAAATGATGAGTCTTGAGGAAGTTGAGGCTGCTATGCGTCAACAACCAAAGCAAGTCACCCCCCAACCTCAAGCGCATCTGCAGGAGGCGCCCCCGTACGCTCAGGCACCTCCCCCAGGCTATCAATCTCATCAATCCGTTCAAGCTCCTCATGGACAAGGTCAACCGGTTACCATTTTACAGCGTCCGCAGAATATTCAATCAAAACCTACTCCTCCTGTGACAGAGACCTCGGCTCCAACTCAGCAGCGCCAGCAACCTCAGCCGACCCAGATTTTGCAAAATCCAAACCGAGGTGGCGGTGATGTAATCAGGGCAGAGCTTGCTGGTACCCAGCCCACTGCTCTCCCAGGATCCCTACCCAAAGGAAGTCAGCATCAGGGACCTCTCCAGTCCCTCCAGTCCCACCCGCAATTTAATCAACTATCTGAGGAGGACAAGGCTGCTTTCTTGGATCAGGAAACCAAGAGAGCAAAGCGCAACCACAAGATCTGGCTTCTGTCAAAGGACAACGGTCTAATGACCCCTCAGGACAAGAATTTCATTACTCGTATTCAGCTTCAACAGCTTGTATCTGCTACTGGAAACCCTGCCGAGCAGAGCTCCGATACCTCTATTATCGAGGACTTCTACTATCAAGTGTACAGTCACATCAGGGCTGGCCAACGTCAAAATCCTAGCCAGCCACTCAGTAACTTCGCTCAAACCTATCTTTTCCAAACTGGAAGCCGACATGGTGGTATGCGCAGGCACGGCAGACCTGCTGAGAATCACTTCCAGCGCATGGAGCAGCAGGTTCAACGGGCCGTCGAGGCCGCTAAGAACAAGCCCAAGAACCCACAGCTTGTTATCGCAGGAAGCTTGGGTAAGATTTCATTTAGCAACGCCAAGACCCCTAAGCCACTTCTCAACATCAAGAGAACCGAGGCTGAAACCAGCCGTCCTGGTAGTGGAAAGAAGACGGACTCCAGCGGTGACGGCCACGCTCGAAGGGCTGCCCTACGCAACGCCGAGAAGGTCTATGATACTCTCATGAAGATCGAGGATCATGTTCGAACGATCCCACCACCTCCCACCGACCAGGTGGATGAGGAACTGCACCAGAAGCACATGGAGTGGAAGGCTACTCTGGACGCTCTCAACGCCAAGCTTTGGGACCAGTTGCAGGTTCACCACCCGGTTGATGTTGTCGTTCCTCACCCCTTTATCGCTTTTCTGTCTTGCGCCAAGGGCAAGAAGGCAATTCCCCGCATCTTCCCTCACCTGGATTTCGAGAAGCGGACGACTATCTTGACTTTGATCATTTATCACTTGGACCAGTTGGATGTTGTCCAAGGCGCTGTAACCAGCGGCGATACCATTCTAAACTCACAGATGCGTGAAAATATTGAACTTTTCATTTC